ATATCCATAGGGCCATTTATTTTCGGTGATCGAGACACTATAGAGAGTGTGATCATATTTAGGATAGATGGTCGTACTATTAAGAGGGAGCTCTTTTAAGACAACTCGATCATCTAGTGCCACTAGGTGTTGGAAAACTTGCATACGCATTTTAGGCCTAGTGCACAATCGGTGAGAAAGTGATTAACCTTCGAAAAATGATTGTGAAAATGCTAACACACTTGCACGTGATGGTGAAACACTTGGAGTGTTAGCACATTTGCAAAGATGGTGAAAAAGGTGAAGAAAAGGATGCATTGTTGGGCTCGGTGTGCTGCCCCGAGGGCACCGCCACCCCTGTGGCGGTGACCGGCTGAGAAGGCCGAGAGGGAGGTGCTCTGGTGGGGGCACCGCCACCCTGTCCGGTGGCACCGCCACCCCTAGGGCGGTGCCCACCTAGACTCAGCCGAGAGTGAGCAAGTGGAGGGTTGACACCGAAAGTGGCGGTGTGCATCGCCACAGGTGCGACGGTGCACCGCCACCCTGTCCGGTGGCACCGCCTTTTCAATAGAGAGCGGGGGTTCTGAAGTTGGGCACCGCCTCGGTCACCGCCACCCCATGGCGGTGCACCACTCCATTTTTCTAGAGAGGAGGGAAAACAGGCAGCTGGGCCGGAGTGGCACCGCCATGCCATGTCCGGTGCCATCGCCGCCTGTCCGGTGCCCATTGGATGACCGTTGGAGGGTCACCGCCACCCTTTGTCTGGTGACCGCACCGCATCGTGTCCGGTGACCTCGCAGAAAGTGGCTCCAAAGGCTAACGGATCTATTTGCTTGTGGGCTTATAAATAGAGGTGGTGGCCGACCTTAACCACTCTCTTAGCACTTCTAACAGTTGCATACACCCTTTGGGAGCTGAGCACACTACTCCACTCACTTGCACACTTGATTTGATCATCTTGAGTGAGATTGAAGAGCCTCTAGTGCATTGCTTAGTGGTCTAGCATCTTGTGGCACTAGTTGGGCGATTTGGGCTGGTGGAGATCTTGTTACTCTTGGTGTTTGCCGCACCTAGACGGCCCGGTGATTGGTGGATCATCGAGTGGAGGAAGGTGATTATCTCCTGCTTCGATCATTGTGATAGTGAGGGGTTCTTGTGTCTTCCCCGGCGGAGCGCCAAAGGCAACTCTAGTGGATTGTGCATGGCTTGTGGATCCTCATCTTGTGTTGGTTGTGCGCCACCCGATTTGCGGGTTAGACGTGTGATGCCTATTAGCACGTGAACCTCTAAGTGAGTGAACCGCCACAACGGAGACTGGACTAGCTTGCCAGCAAGCATGTGAACCTCGGAGAAAAATTGATTGTGACATCATTGTCTCCTTGGTATTCTTTGGTATTTATTTGTTGATCACTTGCCACAGCGGTATATCATCTCTATCACCGTCTTGCTTTAATTTGTGTATTTACTTGTGTAGAGCTTGTGGTGGTTGTAACTAGTTGTGTAGCTTAGCTTCTTAAGTGTAATTAGTTTTTAGCTAGCTCAATTAGTGTAGAAAGTAGTGACATAGCCCTTGAGCGCTTAGTGATTATAATTGACTAGAATTGTTGATAGGTGACTTACAATTTTAGTAGGCTAGCGCAACATTCGCTTTTGCCTCGTTTTTATCAAACCACTTGACTTAGTGTTGTTGTAGATTTATTAAGAGGCTATTCACCCCCTCTAGCCATTAGGACCTTTCAGATGCCTCGGCACATAAAGAAGGAGGTTCGATAAGATTTCTAGCATTTTCCTTTTTTATTTTTTAAATAATTTAGTTATTTATTAATTACTTAAAATTTTCATGGATTTTAAAAATGAAGTGGTGAGATTTGTTGGACATCTTCCCTCTTACGAGGTAAACGGGAGTGGATTATTTATCCGGGCTAATTTGGTGTGAGAAAAAACAAAAAATTCAGACTAAAAATTGGGGAGGGATCGTTTTGAAGGCCTTGTTTAGAGTGAATGATGTTGACCTAATCTAGAAATCGTATAACGTCGATTTCATTTTTATTTAATAAATTTCTAGATATCCACCTCATAACCAACTGTTGACTCAAAAGATTCATAGCATGAAATTTACAAACAAACTGTGTAATTAGTTATTTTTTATCTACATTTAATGCTCCATGCATACGTGCAAAAATTGATGTAGTGGAGAGAGAGTGAAAAAACTTAGAATTTTGAGGCAATCTAAACAAGGCCCAACTGTTGTCCAAGGTGTAGCATGAAGTGTGCATATGTAGACAGCCCTCAATACCCTTTTTCAAGGTTTTGTTTAGTTCTCCAAAAATGCACTATGTAAAAAGAAGTTGTCACATTAAATTTGAAAATACATGCATGGAAATTTAAATGTCGTCCAACTAAACACGGGCTCATTGTATTGTGGAAGTTTTTGTGGCCTTTCTAATCTCGGTATAGGCAACCTTTGGACAATGGAGGTTCAGCGTACAAAATGAAAGGTTGTCAATGGAGAACCACACTGTATGCAAAGTAAGTATAGAACTAAACCCGCCCCAAGCTTCATTGTATTGTGGAAGTTTTTGTGGCCTTTCTGATCTCGGTATAGGCAACCTGGGTCGGCACCCCGTGGAGGTTCAGCATGGTTTGGACAAGGTTGTCCTCCTCCTTCCACCTCCTGTATTTCGAGTTGTAAGTAAACAACCCACACGCTATACTTGTTTGGCACTGAGAAATTATGTGGCAGCGGCTCTCCGTCTCTGCAAATATGTACCCAGATGGCAGGTGATGCTAGCAGAGACGTGGCCGCCGACAACATTGCGAGATGTAGTAGCGTTGGGCCTGGGCAGGATGGAGCATCAGCTGGCATTATCCAGTGGCGCTGGGGCATATGCACCTCCACCTTCATGCCAAAATTATTCCTCGTGAACCGGTAGCCAGGAAGTTTATGGACAGAATAGCTCAGGTTGAGCTTCCTAGCTGATCCGGGTCGGTGCCGCAGCATCTGCACGATTTCGGGAGGCAGCAACAGAGCAGCAAGTATAAGAGAAACTGGATAGTGGATAGACAAAGCACACCTGATAAAGCCATGTATGGTATGAACTGTGCAGCCGGCCGATCTCGAGCTCGCATGGTAGCTCAATGCTTTCTTACAAAGCTATAGTCGTTGGCCTGCTTAGCACTAGCAGTGGTTGCTCTTTATGAAGTAGTATATTTATTGGCCGGACTGGATAGTCCCAGTCGAAAACGAATTTGTGAACATAATTTTTGACTACTTGTACTACTGCACACATGCTTTAGCGCAAGGCTAATAATATAGCCTGCTGCTGGCAGTATAGATGTGTGCAGCCCATCTCTTAGTTCACTAATATAAAAAAAGCTCGGGCTATGGGGCAGACAACCCCGAGCTATTTTGCTTAAGGTAGAGAACTCTCATCTCAGCCCGAGAAAATCCCCAAACCCTATGTCTCGTCCGTACACAGGGCCTGTTATACCCGGCAAGTGGGCCGGTCATTTTACATATGCTTTGTGAACACGGAACAGGCGAGAGGATTTTTTTAAACCTCTAACCCCGAGATCGCCCACGAGGGAGTTCGAACCTAAGTCGGCAGGGTGGGAGCCGGACATCCTCTCCGTCTGGATTAGGAGCCATTCCCTCAATCCATTAATATAGTAGTTAGCTTCTACTAAAAAAAATAGTTAGCTCTTCGCTATTAAAATATAGTTCACTTGTCTCTCATAAAAGTTCCTAGTTCTTATATCTAAGCGAGCTATTAACTTATAGCCCGCTTCTTCTCTCTCCTCTCATCTCTTCTTCTCATCACATAATCAGCATATTCATTTATTGGTTTCAGCCATGGCTTATCAGTCATAATACAATATTTTTCTCTCACAACAAACCAACACCAATCGAATTTATTAGTCCAAAAACCAACCAGCGAACAGGCTGAATATATTTACAACCCTTTACTATATTTGCTCTTAGGCCCACAAACCAGCCCCAGGTTTTATGCATGCGTTTCTTTCCAGCGGTGGTTTCTCATGATCCAGAAGGTGCAAGAGGTTTTGATTAGGACCATTGGGAACCACAACTTTTAATCATGTTTAACTCCCAATGATTCATGATACTAGCACACTACACGCGCTTCGCTGCGTGCGCCCGTTGCACGTGTTTTTTGAAGGGAAAGAATGAAAAGAAGGGGGAAAAAAGGTGGGAAAAAACCCGTAAAAAGGAAAAGGGAAAAATAATAATAATAAAAAAAAAAAGTGAACAGTATTGAACAGTGCGGATGCGGAGGAGGTAGGGATTCCTGCCTGGTTAAAGAGAGCAGTTATATAGGGAATAATATTTGGCTTGGCTTTGCTTTGCACCGCAATTTAATTCCGATGTGCAAGGGAGCACTACAAGTTACTTTATCTGTCCCTAAATAAATAAGTTTCTATTCAAACTTTTTATGTTTCACTAAATATATAAAATAAGTACAAATATTTGTGACATCAAATGAACATATTATAAAAAAGCTTATGGTGTATTTAATGATACTAATTATAGAATCATAAATCTTTGGTGCTCTTTTTTTCTTCCATTTTGATCCCAAAACATTTTATTTTTCTTTCTTTAAGATGAAAATTCTAATATGTTTTCTACTCAATGCAACGCGGGCAGTCAATTGTGCGTGGCTATTACATTACAACTTACAAGCGATCACATTAACAACGGTATAAACTCCTGCTGCTTGGGCATTGCTCCACGAGGGTTTGCAAGCAAACCTTATTACATTTTGTGTACATGTATACGTTTATACTAGTACCCAATACCTGCAAACGATCACAAGTGGGCTACACAAATGTACAGTTTCAAACGCGACTGTATGTAGTATGAACTGGCGTACTGCACACCAACAGATCACAAACATTTCATTTCTTTGAAGCTCCCGACGAAGAATAATCCAGGATCATTCGAAGAACAGAAGCTAGCAGCATCCATCCATGGCGTACGCCGGGTCGCCAGGAACACGAACTCCTCAGTACAGGCCACGGCGCACCTGGAGCAGCAAGAGGAGACAAGGACTCTGTCACGATCATGTCACAGCAAGCCAGTACGATCATGTCGCGCGCCTTTATTTTTTTTTTTCTCACTCTGTCACTCACCTCGAAGCCGACGAGTGACCGCGTCCGGCTGTAGACGGTGGCGGCGGTGAGCACGGAGCTGGTGGAGCCGCACTCGCTGTCCTTGAGCGACGCGGTGGAGACGTCGAGCCTGGCGCCCGACGACCACGGGGATGAGTAATGGCCGGCCCCGCGCGGAGCGGCGCCGGCCAGCGACGACGAGCGCTGCATCTTGGCGGTGGCCCTGGGCGGCGTCCCTTTCCTCCGGCTGGGCAGCCGCTCCAGCGCGTCGGTGCGCTGGCGGGGCGCGCTCTGGGACCGCGCCTTGGCGCGGGACGACTCCGTGTTGGCCATGTAGCCCGGGCACGCCTCCGACGCCTGATGCCGCGGGCTGCTCCGCGCCGTGTTGGCCACCGAGAACTCGTCGAAGTGGCCGCTATACGTCCGCGGGCTCATCAGCTCCGTCACCGCCGACGGCGCCGGGGAGGACCGGCCGGCGTGGTGGTCGGCGAAGAGCTGCCTATCCTTCCCCGCGCTCCGGCTCCGCCGCACGGGCTCCCCGACGTCCACCTCCACGATCTTGGCGTTCTCCTCGCACGACCTGTCCATCTCCTGCTCCGTTCGTCGTTGACATCAGGAATTCAGGACACGGGAGCGAATCAGACAGACGAGATTTAGTCGCTGGCAGGCGCCGTGGATGGATTAATTGATTGATCGATCAATGCAACTGCATGGTCGTTGCTTACGTGAGGAGCAGGCGGTCCCGGAAATTGCCTAAACATTCGACGTGCATAAATTTTGCGGCGACTGCCCTTTTGGTCTGGCAGGCGCGTGGATGGATTAATTGATTGATCGATCAATGGCATGGTGGTTGTGGTGTGCTGCGGCGTCGGGTGGTGGTCATGGTGCTGGAGCGCGAGCATGCGCTGTGCCCGCAGGTGGGACTGCGCGGCGAGGAGCGCCTGCATGCAGCGGAGCGTGGCGTTGGCCTGCTTCCTCACCAGCTGCCCCCGCACCAGAGCTTGCAGCTTCACGATGCCCCTCAGCGCGCACAGAGCCGTCCGCGCCTGCCACGCCACGCCAGACGAGTCGGTCGTGTCGCATGACGCGTTATCAAAAAAAAAAATCTGCAATCTTTTCTTTTCTGAAACAGAAGTAAGGAATGCGCGGTTCGGAGTAGGTACCAGATAGCCTCTGAAGGTGGCCTGGATCCTGACGGCGGCGGCGTCCTCGACGAGGCACGGCGGCAGTGCCATGCGCGGCGCCCCGCGGGAGGACAGGCGCGCCACGGCGGCGGCGGCGTGCGCGGCGGCCACCGCCGCGTCGGCCGCGGCCGCGGTCGCCACGGCCACCGCCACGGCGTGCTTCTTCTGGTCGAACTCGACGCCCGGCGCCGGGAAACCAAGCGATCCCTGGTCCTGGTCCGGCCCGCCGCGCCCCGCCGCATCGACGGCCTTCCCTTCCTGCGCCGCCGGGGGGCGCCTGAAGCTCCACCGCTTGTCCTTGGGGGCCGCCGGCGGATCCACGGCCTGCGGCGGCCTGTCCTTCTTGCCCGACAGGAAGCTCCGGAGCCAGCGCCCCGCCTTCCCCATGCTTGTCGACGCCTGCCTCTGCCTCGGTCGCTCACCGCAACTGCAAGCAACGGACGTACGCTGGCATCAGACGGGGCGCCGTGTACATACATTGCATTTGCAATTTGCATAACGTATAGTTTGGCGTGATCGATCCAAGGTGAGCACCCACCTGACCTACCTGCCTGGGAATGAGAATGCCGGATGCGACGAGGGAGGGCAGCGGGCAACGACCGCGAGGACCGGCTCAACGCTCTGGTCAGCCGCGGGGAGCTGCCGACCACGTGAAGCGGGTGGCCGCGAACATGGGCGTGAGCAGGTGCAGGTCAGCAACACCTCGCGCGCTTTCGGCTGTCAGAATCTTTTTTTAATACCGGACCGGGGACGGGGATGCGGCAGCATTATTGCAACTGTGGGCGTGTCCGTGTCAATCATTCACGCATCCGTCCCCGGGCGGACACAGTGCGAAGCGTGAGCTGTGTGTGCGAGCGACGACGATCCATTGGCATGTCAGCTCGTCCGTGTCCGTCCTTTCTATCCATTATTCGTTCTGCCTTCATCAGGCCTCTGAACCTGCAATCCTACGTGCTCCGATCCATCTCTTCTTGTCGAGTTCTTTTACCAGGCACCAGCTGTGCTTTGCTGCGTGCAAGTTTGACATGCATGCCCTGTCAAAGACTCGTTGCACGAGAGCCCGGCGGCGGTTGCAGAACAGGATTAAAGGGGCTGATATCTTCTTTTTTCTCTTTCTATTTTTTTCTTTCTTCCGCCTCTTCTTCTTCCTCACCCTCACCCTCTCCATATCTTTTCTATCTTCATCTCTAAATCTATCTCTATCTCTACTTCTATAATACATCACTTCAAATTATTCTACAGCCACCAAATAAATCTCATCTCTACAGTCACGACCTAAAGATCTCTTCTTCTTTCTCTCTTTATTTTTTTTTCTTTTCTTCGCCTCTTCTTCTCCCTCACCCTCTCCATATATTTTCTATCTTTATCTCTATCTCTACTCCTATAATACACCACTTCAAATTATTCTACAGCCACCAAATAAATCACATCTCTACAGTCACGACCTAAACTACGTCCACCCCACAAAATGCACACAGAAAAAGATAACATTAAAAACGTACACACAAAATTAACTCTCACTCATTCTCTCTCTTTACTCAACCATATCCGACGGCCGATATTCTTTGGATCTCCCACTCCCGATCTCCCCACTTCACCGCTCCACCCCACCCACGCGCGCAGACGCCGGTGCCTTCTCTTGCTCGTTCCCCTTCAACCTCCGTCCCGATCGACCACGACCAACCCAGCCCCCCCGAGCTCGCCCCCACCACACAACTCGCACCTGCCGTCCGCGGGAGGGCGCCTCGCCCGCCGTTGAACTCTCCTACCACCACATCGACCACGACCGAACCCGCCTGCGGCAAGCACCGCGTGCGTCTCGGCCTACTGGCGGCGTGACGGGCGACGCACACATGGCAATCCGGCGGCAGCACTCACGCGGCGGCACTCGTCGAGGTCAAGCCGAGCCAGCCGACCAAGCGGCGGCGACGACGAAGCTTGCAACTCGTACAGATAGACAAAATCAAAATTGACGGCGGTTACTTCACACATGCCCAGATCTCCGCCTCCAACTCCCAGAGCGCGCCTCTCCCCCGCGCCGCCGCCGCGCCCCCACGGCCCGCCCCTAGGTGTGCCGCCCCAGATCCATCTTCCTCAGGTTCGACGAAGGCCGTCACCCCCAACCCGCCAACGGCCGCGGCCCATCCCATCTGCCTGGCCTAGGGCGGCCGGCTGGCGACCAAACTGGCCGGCCCTCCATGGCGCGACCCAGTCCGCCACGATGGGCAGCCCCGCCCCAACCACTCCCCGCCCCAAGTCGGTGATGGAGAAGGTCGCTGCAGTGGCACTTGGGGAGATGAGATCGGCTAAGCATCCTCCATGTTGCGCACGTCATCTTCAACGGTTAACAGCCGTGCGATTTTGCCTCCCCATTCAATAGCCCCCTCTAGATTAGGATTCTGTGTATCCAATTTTTTTCTCTGATTAGCCCGTGATGTAGTATTGGGGGCTCCAGTTTATTTTGTAGCCATATATTTTGAATGTTAGAATGTTGAATATTTCTTATTTTACCGTTGTTTGCTTGACCGCCTCCAAGATTGGATCCCTTGTCGATGTTCAGATAAACAAAGACCCAGAAGGCCTACGCATCTTCTAGTGCTTGGTCCAGGTTTTAATCCTCAATCCTCCTAACCATTATATTGTTTTTTTATTCCTTGCATGCATTGTAGTTTTAGGTGCCAACAGTATTCAAATCATAATATATAAGCTTGTTCGTTTGGCCGTGGCTCGTCGTAAACGATCGTAAATTTTCAGTCGGAACAGTATTTTTCTCTCGCATAAACCAGCCAGCAGTATTTCTTCACGAACCAGCAACGATACGAACCAGCCAACCGAACAGACTGTATATAGTTGAGATGACAGTGATAGGTACTTGTTCATTTGTTTTCTTAAATTGAACTGAGCAAGCAGGTCACCAGGATGTTTATGATAGGTTTTACGGATTCGATATTGTGATGTCACCCAGAATTATGATTATGTGGGTTCTATGAATGGTTTTTTTCTACATCAATAAAACAATTCTACATTATTTCAGGAATTTGAACTCAATCGTTGCGCAAAGGTCTTCTCTCCATCTTTTGCGAGTTCTAGGCAAGTACTTGCAGTTACAGCCCTGTTGACAGATACTACATTTCACACTCTACCCCTGAAGTACTAATGGGCATACCTGTATGGCTGTATATGAGTCAAAATCTATATCAGGTGTTTCACCTCTATCCAACAAGGTTCATCGTAGTGACCTGTCTCCTGCAAACTATGTCATTTCACCTCAATTTGTTGATTCAGTAAGTACTTCGATCAATTATTTTGTGCTTTTGATTGTTTCAATTGTTTCTCCCTTCATTGAATAATACTATAGTATTCCCTTCAATAATGAAAAAAGGAAATGTTGGATATCAACTTGTAACATGCCTTGATTTTTTTGAAAGGGTATGGATTTTTGCTGTTCACAAACATGTGAATGATGGTTTTTTTGATTCAAATTCATGCAGCTAAACCTGAAACTTTTCAGGCCTTTGGTCCATGTCCAGAAATATAGATATTCATATGTGTTGCTTTCATTCAGTCAGTCATTTGTATCTCACAAAGATGATTTGTCCTCTCATACCAACCAGGTACCCAATGGGGCACATGAAGCATTGATCTGATTGGTCAGACTGTACCCTTTAAATAGTGTGAGAATCAAGGAATGGGTAAGTATCATACCGCAAATAGTTGACAAGAATTCTTATAGGACTGGTTAGTAGCAACAAATTTTTCCAGTGGTCAAGGAAAAACATTGCATATCTCTATTTTTTTCTACTGGTACATTGCATAAGACTGCTGCTTTCTTTTCAATCACTCTGATCTGATGCAAATAGCAAGTGATGGGCCACATATATTCTTCGATTTGTGATGGAACTCCACACTATCACATCACCATTAGTCAATTAGTACCAATCTAGATTCTTATTGCCATAGAAAATGGAACATAAATCCAACCATGACTGAAGCTGTATGGAATGTAGAGATGATTTGTTTCCTTTTGGATCTATCCTGTATTTATATTGCACAAATGAGACATGAAGTTAGGCAAAGTCATCCCTATTAGGTGCAACTGTATCCTGGGCGCAAACGACTGTAGCTTGTATGCATAGATCATTTCTCTTGGCTGATAACAGAGCACAAAAATAATGGAATAATCAGATGATTATACATTACAGCTAACAGTTCCTGTCTTCGTGCCTGAATCTAAAACTTCAGTTTGGAATCTGTAATTTGGTGATTTGTTTCATTTAGCTATAATATTTCTTGTATGGTTCTGAACTATGTCCATTTGCCTGCAGCTCCAAAAACCATACAGTAGACAGGTGACAACAAATAAGCTTGGTCGTTGTCTCCATCGACGGAAGACATCTGAGCTACCAAGGAGACAATGTTGAAGGCTGAAATAGTTGTTAGGAATTATAAAAAATCGTCAAAATGTTTAGTGTAGTTTTGACATGTTCTTGAGACATGTGCATTTGTATGTCTGTGATGTGATTCTTTGTTATTCTACTCTAAAGTCATCCATCATGCCACAAGAACTAATGGTTCGTGATATCACGAAAGCTATCCTAATTATTCATTTTTCTTTTACATGAAAAAAATGGTGCTTTACTCAGCTTCCTACCACTTTGGTTGTTTCTTAGAAAAAAAATATAGTGGATTTGGTTGTTGTCATGTGCATTCCTAAAATGCTATCGTTGTGTTAGCACGGGCATTATATTAGTTTCTATTGATGCACCAGCAGCTGCAGGGGATGCTTCTGAGCCTGACGTGGACGTACTGTCTCGTACCGGCGTCCTAGCTGGACGCCAGGGGCCGGCCTGGAAACACCATGATGTTGGATGCATCCGCGGCATGTGCCTTGCCCCTGCTCTGCCTTTAATAACCGCACGCATCTGAAGGTTCCTCTCACTCGCACCTGGTCGTCCCGTCGGTCGGGTCGGTGGCTAGGCTATAGGCTAGGCCGCTAGCCGGCTAGGTACGGACTTGGAAGTCGGAACCGAAGTCTCTTCAGCACTCATGCCACCGGACTTGAGACCTGAACGGACGGCGGCGGTCGTTCGCGTCGCGTCGCGCCGGAGGTTGGCGTGGCCGCGCCAGCTTTGAGCGAGCAAGCGCGAGCGTGCCCACTGACCAGTGCGTGGTCCAGTGGCCGAGCGAGCTACGAGCCAGGGATGAAAACGGATCGAATACGAACGGATATCACTGATATTATAGCTGAGCCGGATGGGATACGGCCGCATAAATATGCCTACGGATCGGTTCGAGATATTGTCCGGATCAGATCTGAACCTCTTTAAATAGATTCGGTCTCAAATACGGTCGAAAAATATCCGTACCGTTTTCATCGCTACTACGAGCTGAGCCGCCCCGGCCGCAAACCTGTCTTTGTCATCTCGGCCCAAGAGAGCCCGCCGGCCCAATCAATGCGCGTGCGGCGTGTCTTCCCCTTCCTCTCTCCCGGTCCTTTTTTTTTTTGTTTTTTTAGGCATCCTCTCTCCCGGTCCTGGGGAAGGTCCGAAGGGGGAGATTCTCCTGTTTCCACAGGGAGGAGCGGCCGCCGACGTAGCCGCTCTCAAGTCTCATCCGAGACGATCCAGGAACACTACGTGGTGGCGTCGGGCCGGCTGCCCCTCGACTCTCGAGGACATCCAGGATATATCTGATGTCGGTTGGAATGGAATCTGCTAACCGGTGTGGGATACAGGGAACTAAAGTGTCACATTGCGCATTCAAATGCTAATTAGTATGACTAAATATGGACTAATTATAAAAGTAATTGTACAGATGTAGACTAATTTACAAGATAAATTTATTAAGCCTAAATAATCCATCATTAGCAAATATTTATTATAGTATCTTATTCTCAAATCATAGACTAATTAAGCTTAATAGATTCGTCTCGCAAATTGTAAATTACCATTAGTTTTGTAATTAATTTATGTTTAATACTCTAAATTAATATCAAATATTTGATATGACAGTGACTAAAATTTAGTACGATAAAGATGGTTCAACATGCAGATGCAGTGCCTCTGACAATGTCCCTGCCGCCACTTCTCATTTGCTGTATCCGCATTGAAAATGTGCAAAGAGATGCAAGCTTACCTGTGTCCGTGCGCAGTTAGAATTAGAAAAGGTGCTACGTGACTATTGCTACAAGCCACCCATGGGCCATGGTATGATCTTCCTCCATTTCCGATCCTCGTCATCAAGGGAAGCAAGGGAACAAAAGAAAAGCTGAGCTATATATGTTAATGTTATACTGTATATCTTACTGATATAATAACAAATACAGTAAGCAACATATATCATGTATGCATAGCATATTCCTAGTGACTCAGCTTGAGCAAACATGCATTTATGGCATGCTGATAATACAAAATTTTAGATACTCAACAAGTCAAACGCAGGTAAATCATGTTCAATATGACAGACATAGGTAAGTTCTCCATCATAAACATATCATAGATTTTACCAGATGGCCCCTGTGACGCCAGGAGATGGCGGCACTCTCGTAGCCAGCTGATTTCAGCGGTACTGCCAAAAAAAAAAAGGTGTTTCATTAGTTAACGAGTGAGAGTAGGTTAAACCAAATCAGAGAAATTTTAAAAACATTGCCATGCGTAACAAAACAATTGTCAGCATTTCAAGTGTCATAAGTGCATGCTTTTGTACAAACAAAAGAGCATATAACCACAGTTCATTTGAATCAAAAAGGATAACTGGAAACGACAGGGCACATTTCAACAAAACAGATTGATTAAGTTAAACAGAAGAAAAAGCATAACTTGAAAACAAACATGTTAGCTTCATGGCCTGAAAAATCATCAGGAAAAAAACAAAGCACAATCAACACAATAACTGCGGTTAGAGATTTGCTACTGATGAACATAGCCATCATTATTATTGTATCAGTATTCATTGGCAATGTCTCAGGCACACACAAGAATCAAAAGGGAAGAAAGCATCAAAGATTCAGAGCTAACTACTAATCCTGCTGAAGGTTATACCATTCTAGTAGTTAGCAGTATCTACTGGTACAAAAGTATTCAGTAAGAACAGCTTGCAGACCATCGAAACATCCAGTAAAAAAACAGCTTGTAGATCATTGAAGCATTCGGGAGAAACACCTTGCAGAACACTGAAGCATTTGGTAAAAGCAGCTCGCAGATCATGAGTGTATTTATAGAGATTACTGAGCCATCAGCATGTTTACATGAATGAGACCTAAGGATGCATAATACTCACCACAAAACCATCCCTTGCTTCAATACAAATAACACAAGTTATCTAAGGAAAGCAGAGATATCATCTCTCAATAAAAATTTCTGACTAGAGCGAGCACGTCATAACGACTAAACTAACAAGTAGCTCTAAACATGTTTCAAACCAAATAGGCTGAAATTGTGGTCTTGTTCCTTGACTTCGCAGATGAATTGTGTTACGGGCTTACTGTAAAATGTCAACAAACTCAGCAACAAGTCCAGACCAGAATTTCTTTGCAAAAGGCAACAAATGCAGACCAGAAGTTAACCTAGTAAGGTCAAACAACTGGGCACATTAACAGCATCTGCTCAGCACCTAACCTTCTCCGACAGATGTACTTCAAGCTTTCAATATACATCATAAATGGCATCAGGAACATACATATCTGCTCATGTAGATACTCCATAGTACATTGTTCGCTAGGACAAAAATGCCAGCAATGGCAGGGTGTCTATACATTTTTAAACTTTGGGAAAAAAATTGCCAGCACTAGTGCACAAGGCATTACTATAGAACCATTTTTCAACCGTATAAACAGTTAGGTACTGCATCCTCTCTGTGTCACATCCACCCCTACAAATATACCTTGGTACAAATTATGCAATTCACCCAACCAAACACCCCATCCATACAGCAGTCAAGTGACATCTGGGGTTAAGAAGGCTTGGCAATAGAAGTACTAAACTAAATTATTTCTTTTCCACTTGATTAAAAGTACTAAATTCCTTCTTTTCCACTTGATTAAAAGTACTAAATTCTTTCTTTTCCACTTGATTAGAAACATACATGAGAACAGGAAGGGGATCACAGAAGACACAGGAGCATCTATATCGTCACATCTATACTATTTTTTTTAATTTCAAATTAGCACTAGATATGAACTTTGCAAAATGATGTCCCAGAAACCTCCCAAGTCCCCAATCTCCAGATCCAAGAAGCATAAACAAGAACCCTAGAACGCGATAACCAAAGAGACAAAAGATTACCGGAGGATACGGATGCTGGAGGGGAGTGCGACGTGTCGACGTTGTCGCCGCCGATTTGACCTGCGGACGCCACCCACCGCTCTCCTTGCAAGTCGAGCTGATTCAGTGTCGCGCGAGAGTGGTCATGGAAAAATTCCACACCAACGTAGACGTGGTTTCTTCCCAGGCCGGGGTGAGAGGAAAAGGCCGGGATAGACCAGGTTACAAACCAGTGCGGGCTTAACCGAACGCGTAAAATAATATGGGCCAGGATTACTACCAGGCCAGGATGACCCCCGTGGGTTGAGCCTAATTCCCGGCTGACCCCGGGCTAACCGAACATGGCCTGAGCTTGACAATTGTGCGTGTTTGCTGAAACATTGTTAACCTTGTTGCACTTGCAGGAACCAAGGTACCACCTTGAGATTATTTGCAGAGTGATGGAATCCTTCAAATGCCCTTACCACCAAACACTGCATCAGTGCATCGTGATGCCAATTTTGTGGGTCCCAGAACTTGTCACAGGGTTCATCCAGTTCTAAATGAGCCCTGCGACACGACAATCGGTCCCACATGTTAGCATTTGGCACTTCATCTTCATGCTAGATGACACCGAAGGACAAGTTTGGACACCTAAAAATGTATTTTGAGAGTTCATGGACAAGTTTGGACACCTAAAAGTGCATTTTGAGAGTCCAGACCTGAATAATATCACAGGACAAGTTTAGGGTCTGCTTGTATTTTACTCAATAGAATATAATCTGCATTAATCATGACCTCACGCAGCTGATTATGCACTTCACAGCTATTGTGCAAGCACTTAAAAGAATATGGCCTGTATCTACAGAGTTTGTTCTAGTAAAACATGTTCAGCATTTTTTTTATAAACCATGCTCAGCAAATTGAAATATGGCTTGTAACAGGTAACCCTAGAACAGTACAATTTACTGAACTATCAGCAAACAGGAGACCTGAGCAAACAAAATTATAGCTAACAGCTTACTGTTTACTAAAGCATTTAAGCTGGACAGAAACAACTGGAAAAAAAATGCATAAGTGAACAACGAGACACAATCTAACTAGATACAATATAAGAAATTAGGGTTCTGAACACACCTTAAGGCTCATAATGAACTTCGGGCTGTTTTTCCTCTTCACCGAAAGATTATACAGATAACAATTTGCACAAGCAGGATGTTGGATGGAATGTGTAAACACTGTTTTTTTCTATGTATTTTCAAATGCATCTAAAGTATCAGTAAACATCAGGCTTGATATATGAGGAGCTAGCCCTGCATGTAGCACACAATTTGAAACCATGAGATCTCCGCTAGTTCCCTGAAATGCCATGCTGTGTCAAAGCTCATGTTTGAGTACCACTGACAGTATTCACCATCACTCTCAGCATTAAGGAACATACTTGACCGATGCAGCAGCACAATAGCCATTTCACAGAGCAGGAAACAGTCATCTGCTTAGGCCACCATAAAGCAGTCAACAAAGATGTAAAGTCTCACTAAACATTCATGCTTCATATATGAGGAGCTAGCCCTGCAGGTGGCATACAATTTGACACCAACATAAGATCTCCACTAGTTCCCAGAAATGCCATGCTGTGTCAAACCGCATGTTTGAGCACCATGGACACTATTCACCGTGGCACTCAACATTAAGGAACAGACTTGACCGAAGCAGTGGCAGAGTTGTCATCTCATTGAACAGCAAGTAGTCCTCTGCTTAGGCCGCCACAAAGTAGTCAGCAAAGAGCTAGCAGTTGGTTTCGTGTTTTCACAGTCATGGAGCAACCATCCACAGTCAATGAGTCAAAAGCCCCTTGGGAACACTACAGAGTTCGTCAATACTCATGACATTTCAGCAAGCTTTGGGAAACTTTTATTGCCCTCATTTCCTAGCTCTTTTTCATCCAATCCATCAGTATCTGAACCCAGGTCCTCTGTGGATCCTTGGGCATCACTCACTTTTGAAGGAAGTAAAACAGCATTTTTCTTGTAGCCCCATACAAACATTGAAATATAGTCCTGTGGTGTTATAAGCCCCTCCTCTCTAATGCAGTTTCGCTGCTCTTCCAATGTTTGTTGATCTGTGAGCTTTATATACTCCAGCAAAATCTTCTCATGGTCTGGCTGCCATCCACTTGGTAATGGCGTGTAATCAGGATCAGGAACCATCGACATCCTTGTATACTGAAGACCATCAATCGAATCCACAAGGCCCATTCTCAGCAAATTGTGATACTCTGGCGACTGCCCTTTCTTATCCTTCAATGGCCGACTAAGATTTCTTGACGCAATCTTATAGACCTTTGCCCTTGACCGCAGCTTGTACTTGGCAGCATATAACTTTGCCAGGGACCCCCTTATAATGTAAGAGCAGAAGTTGACAACTTTCTTGCGGTTATCAGCATAGCGATACCACTCTGCCATCGTCAGTAAAAGCTTATTCATCTGAGAATTTGTGTGAGCTTGTGTGGCGTGGAACATACGGAAGCATGGTTGTGGATCAGGTTCACGGTCTCCTTTCAAAAACTCGAGCTTCCGAAACTGCTTGATACACTGCTTCAGACTAGCTGTCACCGAAAGCAGTGTACCAACTCCCTTCTCACTAATGATCTTGCCTCCTGTAGCAGTGTAACGCAGCGTTGGGTACACAACTCGACGGCACAGCACATGGTCAAGGAACATGACTCCTTTTGTGATGTGCTCAATAGGGAGGTTCTCATTATCCAGTTTGATCCTGAATCGCTGATCACAAAACTCAACTAGCTGCTTCCGGAGCACAGCCGCATCGGCTCTTGGCCCCCTAACACCGATCAAGAAATGCCCGCCATATCGAATGTAGTCCACCTTCCTTGTCTTGTCAGGGCCACTAGTGGGAACAAACTCCGGCCATGATGTGTTACCCTGCTCAATACCATCATCCCCTCCCACAACATCCGACTTGGATGGCTTGTAAAACTCCTTAATCTTCTCTTCTATCCACTTATCAAGCTCATCCAGGCACACATTGGCAAGCAACGGGCTCAGCACCCCACAATGGCCCCAATCAGGCTGCGTCTGTGCCTCCTCTGGTGCAAACCCAAAGAACGTCTGCAACCAATAAGGGTCAGGCTTCGGCTCCCCCTCTGGCAGCACCTTCTTCTTCTGGTATTTCCTCTTCGTCTTCTTCTTCTTCGCTGCAGCATCATCACTTGCAGTCACCACCGGGGTGAGCAGCGCCGAACGGATCAAATCCACCACCTTTTTATCACGCACATCACGGATAAGCGCACCGACCACAAGCGCAGGATCAGGCGAGTGCAGGAGTGGGGAGAGGTCGCCCTTGATATACCAGAGGTATGGCGCAAAGCTGCGGCGGATGGTGCGGATCGCGGCATGCGGGGATCGACCTGGGCGGAAGGCGAAGGACTTTGGCGAGAACCTGGCTTCGTAGACGGGCTCGAGCAGGAGTAGGAGCAGCTCCTGCACGACGCGGTCCTGGAAGGGCGGTGGGCCGGGGGTTGTGAGGAGGGCGCGGAGCTTGCGCTTGGAGAGGGTGGCGGGGTCCGGCGCGTTGGTGGCGAGCGGGGACTGGAGGAAGGGGGTGAGGCGGTTGCCGAAGCGGAATCGAGCGTCGAGTACGGCGTTGCGGAGCGTGAGGAGGGCGGCGAGCGTGGAGGCCGGGATGGAGGAGCGCGGCAGGTAGGAGCCGGTCTCGTCGGCGTACGCCTTCTGGTAGGCGAGCACCCACAGCTCCAGGCGCGAGAGGAAGGGGGTGAGTGACTGCGGCGGTGCGGGGGTACAAGAGCCGGAGCCGGAGGTGGAGGCGGCGGCGGCGGCGCGGAAGGAGGATACCCAAAGGGAAGCGGTGATTGCCACCGGGTCGTCGCGGAGGAGCTGCGTCGGGTCCAAGGGGTTCCCGCTCCCGCCGCCGATGCCCCCGATGACGCCACGGCTTGTGGAGGTGGTGGGGTCGGCGACGAACTCGTGGCGCCGCAGGGGCGCGGGTGTGTGGGGATGGGGATAGGCAATGGAGGAGAAGGAGCGGAGGCCGAGGAGGGATGTGAGAAGCCCGCGGCGAGGCGGCGGCATCGGAGGAGGCTAAAACCCTCGCGGTGGCCGGCGGCGTCGTGGGGTTTTGGCCTTGTTTGTCGGTCTGATAGGGAAGCGCCGAAGTGGTGGCGCTGGTGCGTGCACGGCGACGGCGGCGCGGCTGAGTTGCGGCGGGGAGGGATGCCGAGGGCCCGAGCCCCGGGTGCGGCCGTCCGGCCCGCGGCCAGTCGGGAGAATGTAGCGTGATTTTGGGCTTTGACAGTGGGCGGCCCAATGGTTTTGCCCTCAAAATGGCATGTCGTTAGCCTACGAGGCTTATGCTGCTCTCGGCTCAAATAGGAGGTTGAAAAGGAACCGAAAAATAACTTGTAGATCAAATGTTCAATCAATAGTTTATGTACATGTGTTTAAGAGCCATTGAAAAATCTTCCAGTTTCGAGGCACATGATAGCTTTTTTCTTTTTTTTTTTTGGCAAAACACATGATAGCTGATGTTACTGAGCCCCTCCTAAAGTTTAGTCAGCTAAATCTAGTCTTATTTAGTCACTTTTCAACTAAACTGTCGGTACAGAAAGTAATCAACACGTAAATATTTGTAGTTTTATCGTGCGTTGTAATCGGATGTGGCCTATCACTCAATGACACATGGTTTATATTGGTTCAGGCAACGTGCCCTACGTCCAGTTTGAATTGGTCGGTGACTTTATTCCTGAGTCCAGGAGCTCGAAGTTTGTTGTGGGGTTACAAACAGAAGAGAGAAAGATGTGGGTACAAGAGGTCCGGTCGGACTCTGGTCTGAAGGGCCGAGAGTGACGGGAGCTCCGCTATGTGCTAAGTGTTCGAGCGTGCGTTTTGTGTAGCTTTAGAGTGTCTAAAGCTACAGAGGGTGAATCGATGTAAGTGAACTCTGAGATCTATCTGTTGGGAGAGAGCGCATCCCCTTTTATAGATGAAGGGAACGGCCTTACAAGCGAGAGAGAGAGTAAGCACGACGCTACTAAGTCTTGTTGTCCACGCCATTGGGTACAAGATGATGGTAACACTGTTGTTGTCAGATGCATGTGGGAGGTTTTACCGTATTCACCATGTATGATAGATGATGGCGCCTACAACACTGTAGGATAAACGTTGGCGCCCACAACACTGCTTGATCCTGGCATGGCTGGAAGGTTGTAGGGCACCCTTCTGACATGTCCTGTCGATTACGGTCCTGCAGGTGTGCATGGTACAGTCCTCGGTATCGCGGTCGACTTAAGCGCCCTGCCTTACTTGCTCCATCCGTTTTCTGGTCCTTACCGAGCGGGCGTCCCCGGTCGGTTGGTTCGAGGCGGCTTTAACTGCGCCAGTCGGAGAAGAGCTGTAAGCAGGGGTTCGGTGCATCCCCGGTCGGAGACGTGAGTCGGAGTTGGAGGCGGTGTTTGGCCAGGCCTTCCGGTCGGAGAGGCGGGCCAGAGTCGGAAGCGAGCGTTGTTCCTCTTGGCCAGACCTTCCGATCGGAGAGGCGGGCCGGAGTCGAGGAAGCGAGCGCTGTTCCTCCTTAGCGAGGCCTTCCGGTCGGAGATTGGATCACCTTTCTGACCTGTCGTTTAGGTATTTGGCCGGCCCAGGAGTTTACGCGTCGTTCGCAACGTCGGTCTGCTAGGTCGAGCCTTTGCTGAAAACCGGTCCATGAGGGACCCCGGGTTTATGAACCCGACACAAACACTATGACTAAATGGAACTAAATAGGCTTTAGCCAACTAGTCACCAAATGTTGCTAAAATGGACTAAACCTCACTTTTTAGTCTTTTAATTTGGAGCCAAACACCCTAACTAAAAGAGACTAAAAAACCTCTTTTAGTCACCCGAACCGAACACCCAGTGACTAAAGTTTAGTTACTAGTTTAGGTGACTCAAGTTTAGGAGAAGGAAACCAATCAAGGCCTCATATGGCAAAGCATCCTCTCTTGTACAAACCACGAAGGGTACCAATTTACAACTTGTACATGGTAACAACAGGCAACAGGTGTTATGGGCTATGCTCTTGGTCTCTTGGATGACAATGAACTTGGATGCGTTGAGCTGCTGCTGACCCTCTTCTCGTGGCCCATAGCATCCTAAACCTGCTTTTGAATGTAAGTTTTAACAGTTTGAATCCTTGGTCATCTCCGGATGGCGGTTGGGAGCCGGTCAACCCTGCATTTGAATGTATGTCTAACCATTTAGCAGGTACTGAAAGGAACAGCGCCTGTGATTTGGAGTCTAGAATGCTTTACCTGCCCAATTGGGATAGTTCAGGTTCCTGGAGCAGCAAATCTTGCAGGTTCTCAGCGCTAGCATCACTGTTAGCAGTAGAAAAGAGCAAGGTTCAGAAATTTCGTTGCCAAAAGATTTAGAGGACGGGAGTAACATGCCAATCGTAGCATACCTGGAATCAAGAGAGAGTAGCCTATGATGAATTGAGTTAACAGAGCCAATGTAAGTAACAACTAGGCTTCCAGCATCTGGATGCGGCCAACTTCGGGTGGTAGGAAATCTGAGAACAAATGTTCCTGGCTCCTTTAACAGTTCCCTGGAACTTCTTAGTGCATTCTCAGCTTCTTCTATTGTAATCAAGCCCTCTATCCATCTAGGTGTTGTGCAATCCCACAGCTTTTTAATTTTCTCTCTCGACAATGAAACAGCCACTGGGTATAACCAGTACCATAGCCTATCAAATTCATCTCTTCCTATGTCCTCACCACAACCAGCAATGCCTCTTAAAACCTCAAGATCCTGAAACAGTGAATACTATGCAATTAAACATTGCACCGTACAAAAAGTATACAACCCTGAGACTGAGAGTTAAGGTACTGAGGTCATGTAAAGAAATTCTACCTGCTCTAACAAACCCCTACTCACAGAATGGGCAATGTTCGTAAATTTTGTTATGATCTCAGGAATGGCAGATGACCAAAGAGCACGTTCATTGTTCTTTGAGATCATGTTCCAAGTGTCAGCACCTTCTCTGAGCAATCGCTTCGACATTAATATTTGGTTTCTAGAAGGGAAAAATAAATTGCAAATTACTGTCAATAATACAAGGAGAGAGGAAACTTTTATCAAGATACAAGAGTTCAATTACCTGTGGTGGGAGCATCCACTATACAATGAGACTTGGTCTGCAAGTTTTACCAAGTCATCTTTGTGAACAGTAGGAGCTGCACCTCTAAGAAACTTGGACCGGTCGTATGTGCTGTCTAGACAGTATCTGAAAACCACAGCGTCTGAAAAGGTTTCAATACCATCATCTCCATCTGATCCACTCCAAGAACTTCCTGAATCAAAACTGTCATAGTTGGATGTTGAAGAGTCAGTCCCCATGACATTCTGTGCTTCTTTGCTTACCACCACCTTTCTGGCATTCTTATTCTGTAAACAGATAATGATTATCAAATCAAGAAGTCAAAAATTAAGCATAACTTGACAAAGTAAGTAGGCTAGCTAATTCATTACCTGTGATACCATTTTGTGGGCCTCTACTACCTTCACAATTCCACCTTCTATATTGGAAAACATGGGTGTATGCAGACACAATGAATGTTCACGACCATTTACTTTGTCAGCACTAACAAACCCTTGGCCATTATTGAGCAAGTCAGTTTCATCTGCTGTTGCAGAACTCGCCCGCTTTCCAGGACCCAAGGGACGGATGGTGCGGCTTCGAGATATACAACGAATCAGTTTGGAATATGCTTCCAGGAAAGGATATCTTTGCATGTGAAGTGTAGAGAATTGAATACGGAAGAGCTTATTGTCACATTTGGAAGAGAGCTGGAACAATCAGACACTACGTTATTATGGACAAGAAACAAGCAACTACCATCATAACTTCAAAGAAATGTAATGATACAAATCGTGTTTTACATGGCGCGCTACAGCCCAACTTTGTTGGATATGAGCATCCCTAGATTGTGGCTGCTGTCATGAGTATGTGCAGCAGCAGGGCTAAGAACAGGAACTGGTATTGCATAACATTTAAACTTTCATTAGCAGACAGATTTGATACTCGAGATTCAAAAGGTTTTAAATTGCACACAAATCAAATTACAGAAGTAGTTTGTATGTAGTATTAGTGTCCGTACTAGATATGGCGTATGGCCATTTTATTTTAATCTTTTCACATGCCATTGACTAGTGCTAACTGTCCAACAGTTATGCCTGTGCTGTAATGGCCTAAACCGTATCATAATGGGCTAGAGTTGCATGCCGCTTGTTTTTGTGGTTGTTTGCTGTTGTCTTCGGTTTGCTACTTGATTAAGTATTCTTTCAGGGGTCAGGGATGGTATGCGTCTTGTGTGTGTAGGTTTCCTACTTGGTTTTCTTTTAGGGGTGGTTTGTGTCTCTGTGTGTGTGCGTGTGGCTCTTTTTTTTTTTTTGGGGGGGGGGTGGATACACAATATATCGCGGTTAGTGAGGAGCTTTATTTGGAAGAAAGTTACATCCTCCTTTTTTTTGTTGTTTTAGCTTCTATTATTTTCAAAGTACTTGTTATCTACAACCCCAAGGCAACCTTGACCCATTTTATCCAATCCTGCCCCTACATAGAAACACACTGTACAGTGAGTGTGTACCTTTGATGAGATTATAAATGCACACTTGAGAGGGGATTAATAGGGTAGGATGGTCGTTCTATTTCCATCCTTATTCTTGTGCCCAAGCCTAAAACATCAATTGTTGTGAAAAGGAGGGAATGTTGTGACAAGTGTTTTCTTCAGAGGAATTGAAATTGCAGTTTGTGGAGAGCATGTTGGCACTCCCAATGATGGCGCGGTGTGTACCGGTTTTAGCGGCGCCCATGCCTCCCAAGATTTGTGGGGACCACGTATGCACTGCAACATCGGTATAGGCCGCGCTTTATCGGCTGGAGAGACAGGAATGGAATCCACATTGTGGTTCCAAGCTTGGCTTCATGGAAGATTTTGGTGATCATTCAACACCAGCACCAACACAGCAACATATAACTGCCCTAGGGCAGTTAGTAGGGGCTCCTAGTGAGAGCCTACCCACCCGGGATCGTACCCAGCTACTCGCAAAAAAAATCAAGAGGGGACAAACTCCCTCTTTCAACATACATAAAAAAGAAGCTCGGCAAGTTATTTAAAACGATAGTTCATATGTGAATGTCATTGCATAGCTATTTCTAGAAATTGCAGTGTCAGGAGTGAACTGCCAACATTTGGATGTTGAGTCCATAAGTAATAAATAGGCAGTATTATGCAAAGCAGATAATCTTTTCAAAATACAAAGGGGAGCGGGGAATCAATCCAAATGCATAAAACAAATATAAGAGAACACCAAAATTCCTTCCAACAATTATGATATACTCAAAGCCTCTTCATTGGTTCACCTGCACCCACAGCCGCTCAAAAGAAGAAAGTTATGGAAGTCATTAAGATGGAGTTTAAAAGGGAAAAAAATCCTTCCGAATATGCCTTCCAAATTCATTCCTACGGAGGAAGGCGCCATCTCCATGCACCATAAGTAGTTGCAATGGGGTGCGTTACACATACATGCCACAACAGCCAAACATAGCAAGCAACTGCAGCCTCTGCTAGGCTATAGCACTACTGAGAGAAACATTAAAAAAAATATGCTTCCAACAGCAACACATGAAAGACAAATAACTAATGCTCCACATCAGAGAGACAGACAGACAGTGACAAGTAATTTCTTTTTGTGTCTGATGCAAACTGAAGCTATATACATAATAAGGAAGGTTTACATATGGAGAAACTCACCTGCGATATCTTGAGTTTAAATAGTGCTCGCCCACGAATAATTTGTAGAGGCCTGCTTATAGCTGCGTATTCAAGTCCTTCGCAAGTAATAAGCAAAGGAGGCTCAGAATCATCCCTTGATTTTGCAACTACTGTTCCATCATCAGCATAGACAAGTGAAGCAACGACCTAGAAGATGTATAAAGTTTGTAAGAACACTATGCAAACAAATAAATCAGTATGATTAGATTTAAAATGATTAGATTTAAAATAAGTAAAAAAAATGAACCTCTTTATCCTTCGCAGGTTCACCAAAAGCGTTGGTTAGTACTACTTCCAAAATGAAGTTTCTCCGGCAAGATGCCTGCATCAATAAATTTCCATAATTAGGGTAGCCCATGGTTATTTGATTTAATCCATGATACGATACAAGTAAATATTTGCTACTATTATTTTTTCCAACTCAAGTGCAATTTCTCAGGTTGCTTTTTACATGCCATATTTTACTGAAATTATCCTCTCTCTAAAAAAAAAAATACTGAAACACAGAATTCTGCCATCACGTATGAATAGTCAATAGACAACTTAAATGGTGGGTTCTGCAATTCAATGAGAAAATTCACAAAGTTTACATGACAGCATCTTGTTTACCTTCCCACCAACGATGCTCCAAATGCCGTCATCACCCTCTTCGATTCCATCAGAGCATGAATAGTCAATAGACAACTTAAATGGTGGGTTCTGCAATTCAATGAGAAAATTCACAAAGTTTGCACTTACACAAGCACAAAATCTGCATACCATTGGCTTAGATGAATCACCTTTGTGTATTTTTCTTTTACAGTTCCTAGTACAGATGAAACCTCAATATTATAGATATAGCCTTCAAGCTTGCCATCACTTCCAACTAAGCTAACTTGGTTTGCATCATCCTGACGGTCTGGCCCATCAAATAGTGAACAAACGGGGGCCTCAGCAGTTAGGGAACCATCAACGTGAAGACGCAGAACATTTTCAGTAACCTGACACATGTAGGTACAAACCAATGTTATAAAACCACCACTTCGACAAAATGTGGAGGATAGACTAACATGTGGAGATACCAGGAAACAAAGCTCTTGGTGGATGCTGCATGTTTTTTTTTTCCTCTAAAAATTTGAGGTGCACACAAACACAAAAGAAATAAAAGCAGGGGAAAGTGTCAAACATGTTGCAATTTGTACTTTCATTTGGGGGCTGCAAATGCAAAGGTATTCGATAAGGGGGGAGGCCTACAGTTGTTTACATCATACCTCACACCCAATGTGGAACCATTTCTCAAGAGGGCATTGACTCGTAGATGATAAATTGGTTGTGTCAGTCCATGGGTAAGAACTAGCAGGACCAGGAGTTTCTCTGTGCAGCCTCATCAACGGGAAGAGCAGCAGTTTGTTTCCTTCACCTAAAGCGAGAAACGGCAACTTATTGTCATCTCCCGCAGTGATCTGCACAAGCAACAAATCCAATCCATTAGCACCAATTTTCTGATGGTGAAACTTCACAAGGAAACCTAGAAAAAATACCCTTCACTTTTTCCAACGAAAATGTTTTCCCTGAAACCGTATCAAGAAACACGAAATTCCATCAAACTAAGACATAGTGGAATCGAGTACAGACTACTAGGATTTTTGCTGTGCTGCGAATGCTGCAAAAAGGACAGCCCGGGTCTCATATTAGCCGGGTGATTTGGAGGGTACAACAGCATTTAACACCTAAAATCGAACGATCAAAACAGATATCGAGACAGCAAAAGCAGCAAATCGTTGCTCTCTTCCGGTACCCATCCCGGAAACAAAAACAATTCCTACAGAAACAATCGCCGCCTGGAAGGCTGGAACCACCTATACTAACTGTGAAGAGAGAGGAATCCATCCAAACCTGGTGGAGGATCACCGAGGACGGCCTGGCGGAGCTGGACAGGTAGAGCCAGAAGGAGACGGCGAAGCCCTCTCCCCCGCCGACTCGGGCCGCTCCCGGGTCCAGCTCGACGCGCACGCCGCGGAGGTCGCGGTAGCCGTCGCTCCCGCAGCATTCCGATTCCGGCGCCGCCATCCCCCACTGAGGCAGAGGCAGGTGAGGGTTTTGCCTCTGCCGTCGTTCGGCGCGTCTGCTCGGGACGATGGTCCGTCCGTTAAACGGTTTGTCGCCTGGTGACTGTCGACTGGTGTGGTGAGGTGGGGGAAGTTGGGTGGGGAAATGGAGATCTGGAGCCGTCGGTTTTTGGGTTGCGCTGCTCCTGTTCGCCGGATCGGACGAAGGTAATGTCCGACTCCTAGTTTTCTTCTTTTTTTAACAAAAAAAAGAGAAAGAAACAATCATTTAGCGTTACAATTCTGGATAAAATAGACTATGAAAGGGAAAATGCAATACTGTTTGAACCTTATACGCGATTTTTCGATGAGCCTTTCATCTTGCTTGACTATTCAAATTTGGTGGTGTATCCGGTGGTAGGGCGGACAGAGCTCGAGCCACCCTTACGTTTTTCGCGTAATGGAGACCACCCATACATATGCCCTCATTAATTCAACCAATAATATCCCTAACACACCTGCGACACAATCCAACTATGAAAATATAATAATATTGTCAATCCTAAAACTTGTTCGGTCGTGTCATTGCGATTCCCAGACTTACAGATCGCTCATTTAAATCCTCAAAATTAATCGGTTGTGTCATCCTGATCTTAAACTTGCAAATCGCCCACGGAAAACTATATCATTCTGATCCTAAACTCACAAATTGCTCATTTAAATCCTCAATCTAAACAGGTCTAGATTTGTGCTCATACATATATGTTAACTAGGTAGCGTGCCCGTGCATTGCTACGAGACAACTAAACTTTTGTACTAAAAACATACGGATCGCACGATAAGATAACAATATTATGAAATTAAATACCGACGTTAAAGCGACATTTAATCCAAAAAGCAAAGTTCGTGAAATTAACGCAGTCATGGAGAGCGCAGCGTCGCGGGCTTACAAACTCTATTGTATATCTATATAGACATTTCCGTAATGCGGGTAAGATAATATTTTATATCAGCAGAAAGAAATATCCAATATTCATTTCTTTCTTCCCCAATAAATCCACGAATAAGTTCCACCACATCACAAGGCTTACATTTTAGTGACCCCTGATCCTGAGCAAGTAATGCCCTGCCATGAATGGCCATAAGGATCACCGCCATTCGCTTGCCTAACCTCTAAGCTGCCCATGAGAATTTAGACTGGTGAAGAGCGTATATTGCCCCGGGCTAACACCACGATCACATTTTAGGTGATGCAAAGTAACAGTCAAACGCGGTATAAAATAAGGAGTGATACAAACTTACAGGGTTATTATATCATTATCCAAAAATGATCAAACTTATGTTGTCCAATACAACAAGGATTAACTTAATCTATGCCTCGATATATATTGTGTTTCTCTCCCCGTCCAACCTAAGACCAACTATCCAGTTCAGTTAGCAGATGTTGTCGAGCTTCCCTACATTGAACCATTTTGTTGTTGAGACAGAAACAACTCAAGGCTAGATTTGCAATGATGTGCATCCAAATATGGTTGATATTTGCATTTTCTTGAGTGAGAAGTGGGAACACATGCATGTTGCCTGGTGAACAGTCATATGGTTCCATTCCCATGGTAATCGTTTCTGAATCACTCATGCTAAACAGTAGAAAATGCAATTGCAGATTTGCCCCTGCTCACAGCGACGTTTTTTTTTTAATTTTAACCTTTTTTTAATATAATTTTAAATCTAACATTGTCGGTTTTTTTAACACTTTTGGCCGCGCCTATTGCCCTGGCGCGGCCAAATGCCTGTGCCGCGCCATGCATGGTGACGCGGAGAGGGCTAACGTGGCGACGGCCGGCTTGGGGGACCGCTGACGTGGCAGCTCCTGCCGCGCCACCGACCTTGACGCGGTAGTGTCGCGCCCTGATATGTGGCGCGGCAGAACCATATATATACCACCCGCGCAGCCACACCACCTGGCCGCTGCGCCTGCCGCCCGCACGGAGTACCTGGATGGATGAATCAAAACGCGTCGCGCACGTATTTTGTTGAGTTTTTTCACAGCCGAATAAAGAATTTGATAAGCCAATGATAAGTTTTTCATCTTTCATAATACGGTTATGCACCATTTAAACTAATCGATTACGAAAAATTGCCACCGGGACTGTCGGTTCCTGAACTAGTTGGTACTTAATCTCGCCGGCAGTGCTGCCGCGACTCAAAGAAACGAATAAGAAGTAAGTTGACAAGCTGCCACATAACATATTCATTGTTTTGACATAAGTTTGAGATAACATAACCAAATAACCACGCGAGTTTCGGATGGCAATATTCGTTTGACCTAACAAACTAAGACCCAAGAGTGTAAGGATCCCTCGGACGTCTCTGTCTCTTCGGATTTGTTGGCAACACATTAGGAGTGTAGCCAACATCGGTATGGTCGCGTCGACGGTGCGTATGGCTCGTACCCTGCAGGTATATGATACGCACGATTACTTATGATCGTTAGTTCATGGAGCCTACGTATTGAAACAAACTATCTTTGTTAGTACCTGTGAGGCTTCTTGGGTGCCAAGCGGGGCACCACCTAGCTGAGACATGTCGATCTCGTCCTGTGGCCATTCGTCCCACTGGTTGTGCTGTCCATGGAAGCTCGGGGGTTCGTCGTCGTCGTCATCGTCCTCCTCCTCGTCCTCGATTGCAGGGTCCTTCCTAGCGCTATGATGTGGTGGTGTACGTACCACGGAAGTGACACCTGTCATCGGCTGAAAAGAGCCAGCTGGTGTCCTCAAAGAGGCTGAAGACGTGCCACCCGACCTTGCCGGGAGTGGCGGTTCCTCATAAGGAGTGTCCATGCAGCTCAGCTTCTGAGCTAGCTTCCTGTAGCTTTTCTTCACCTTCTGCATAAATAGACGTTAAAGTTAGTTCATTACACAAACGCATATACACTAAAGAAATATTTTCGAAACGGACAAGTTTATGTTTACCTCCACAAAAGCCGCAAGAGAACACCTGGCCCCTGCCCTCTAGACTCGTGAAGCCGGAACGCTGCTTCATTGGACAACCTTGACAATTGTGTCGCCTGGGTACAGAAACGCGGTTGGACAGTTTTAGTACACTTACTTAAAACCAAAAGGATAACAAATTATACCATTCAAGTATCTTACCACATATCTTTGAAGCGGGGCTCTCTGTAGCTGTGTGTCCTCCCTAGTGGTAACGTCGTACACATCTTCGATGACATCTTCCTCCGAGTCCTCGTCAATCGCCACGTTAGTGTACGGGGACTTGACATGTGTTCTCGTAGACCTATGAAGACACCGCAGGTACTCGTCGAAGGTGTGCTGGTCATGTGGAGGACCCGCAAGGACCACATGTGGTACCCCTGGTCTGCCATAAATGGATGTACGGGTTGTGTGTCACGCGCCAATCCTTGGTCTTATACCTCTTCCTGCGGTCAAACCTACAACAAAACGATGTTAGTTGTACCAAACACACCTATGAATTGTAGCATTGTTATTAATCGATAACGCACACGTACAATTCTTGGTTGGTGGAGTAAAGCGGTGGTGGGCAGGCTGTCATTCTTCCAAACTATCTGTAGATCCGGATAGGCAAGTGAATCTCGACCACATGGAAGAAAATAAGAGGGACATCGCAGCGATACTCGTGTGACTCGTCCCTAGTGACAGGACTCAGGTAGCCCTAGAGCTCCGGAGAATCCCAAGGACACCAAAACACCTGAAATTTCGTAATTGTGTTAGGTTGTGATATACTGTACATCGAAGCAGACACTGGTACGATAGAGAGCCTAACCTGGTGCTGTGTTAGAACGTTGAGACCGTCCGTGTACTCCCTGTACTTACGCCACGCATTTCCTCTAACTAACTATGCTTCCGTCCAGATATACAAAGCTGTAGGGAGTGTATCATGCCCGTTCCATCGTTGTATTGAACACGATAATGAATTAGCAACAAATAATCTCATCATATCTAACTGCCTGAAAAATATAATGAACCGAAGTACTTACCGGTAAACCATTATTAAGGGCCCTCCCAACGGGCAATCGTTCCCAACACCAAACTTGGAGTAGGTACGAGCAACCCTCAAGGTTCGCATGTCTTGAGGTGCAACGACAGGCAATGCATAGCTGTCGATACGTCCATGCCAGGACTGCGCTGCCCCAGCTATACCCCGCTATGTTCTTCCACGGCTGGTGAAGTATGTCAAGGAAGATCCAGCTGATGGTGTTGCTCGAGGCGTCTGGGAAGAGGAAAGCACCAAGAAAGTGCCAGAGCCACACTCAAGCGAACCTGTCGATCTGAGCCTCCTCAGCTTGTGGGTCCAAGTAATCAAAGCGCTCTATGATCTAGGATGACGAAACACCGGAAGTTTTCCTGTAATTGATCAAAGAAAATGAGACCCGGTGCCAGCAGTAAACAATGCAAGTATTAAATAGGCTTGAAATTACTCACTTATTTTTCTTAGAAGCATCGTTGTTCGGTGGAAAAAAGCCAGTAAACTAAGCCACCAGCTCCCTTCAGTGATCGTTGTCAACTATCCCTGTCACTGGAAGTCCCCCCAAGCGAAGGCCTAAAATAGCCTTCACGTTCTACAACGTCATGGTCATCTCGCCATAAGGTAGGTGGAACGTGTGGGTCTCAGGCCTCCACCTGTTATAAGAATAGAACGACTGTTAGTTGCCTCAAATTTATTACAAGAAAGTTTACGTACAAATAATGCACTCGCACATGTCTACAGCTGCAATAAGTAGTGCTGGGTCAAGGGGCGGAAGACCATGGTTCACAACACGGACAAACTCGAGGAAGCCGGCACGCCGTATGTACGGCGTATAACGCTCGTCCCACTGATGCGTCCTGGTGTGCGTGCGGGGCCTCACTAGAGGCAAGGACACCTCTGCGTCGTTGTCATTCAAGATGTGTGCTCGGTGCTAGTCGTCGTACTCCACCTCAAGAATGGGGTACAACGGGTGCTGCGTGGGAGGGGCCATCCTTTTACAAATTGATAAACAAAGCA